CTGTCCTTGTGCTTGGGATTTTGAAGCGGTATGGGCTAGGATAGTACATCTTCTAACCAACTCCACTGTTAAAACTGAAGGGGTAATACAGCCTAAGGGCATACACAAAATAACCACACAGACCCACAGTAAAGACTTATTTAAATGAAAACCAATATATACTCATGTACGTATGGCTTCTCAAACTGAAACAGGTTCATGATTAGAGCAGACAGGGACCATTTAAGATACAATTGTCTTGTTCAGCTTGCTTCCAAAATCTGAAAAAATGTCTAATTGATATTCATCTTCAGTGTAGGTAGGTAGTAAATCAGGAATTTCTGCACACCTGGCTTTTACAGCTCATCCCTTATTGGAGGAGGGTGTGGCACGGGAGAAAAGAGGCCAAAGCCTGTGAGAAACAGCAGCTTCTAGAGAGCCCTGTGGGAAAATGAGAAATGTCCCACTAAGCGCACCACAGAACCCAGACAGGCTGGGCTTCAGTTAGGTGAATGACATATTAAGGAGCAAGGATGAAACGGACATTTGAAAACAAGTTGAGATCAGCACCCAAGAACTTTCCTCAGCAAGAAAACCAGGCCTAGGGCTCCTGCGCATGTCTGTGTGCCTAGGCCCAGACTAGGCTGGGGTATACAGGAGGTTTTTCACTGTGGCAAAGATATACGTCAGACACAGCTGTGGCCCTCTACATGACTGGAGTGAAAGGGGAGCAGACTTGGCTTCGCGTCTGTGCAAAGTGAAGCTGTGCAGGGACACCTCCAGCCAGCCTGTCCTGTTGTGCCATGCCTCAAGGCGCTAACACAGCCTGCAATGGCCCAGTGTACACATCCTGCCAAGAAAGCACCTCCTCCTTCTGCAGACTCAGCTCTGCCCCAACAGTCTCCACAATAAGACAGCAGAAGACCAAAGGATAAGTAATAGAAGTTACAGAGCAGGACTAAGACTGCCATGGGACAGGAGAGCCCTAAAGACACTTCTGTCATGGTCACTCCAGGAGAAAAATGAGGAGCATTGTCCAGGTCAGAGGACCCTATCTCAGTCAACTGCCAGGGTTAAGGATCCAGTTCAGGTATTATTGAAACAGACGCTGTGAATGTGACTGATGTTAAATAGCTCACCAAAACTAAACACAGCCTTAAAGGTTCCTGAAGTCATAACCAGGACTCAAGCTTGTCCTCAAGTATGATCTCAAATGAGCATTCAGGTTAAATTAGGTTGCATTAAATGACATGCAATGGACTATGAAAGTCAAGAGGTGGAAGGAAAAATGTAAAAAAAAAAAATCAGCTTAGCCCAAGGTTTGAGTGAAGAAGTGACTTACAGTTTGGTAAAGGAGTTACTAAGCAACATTTTAAGTCAAAAGAGCTCTCCAAAGTAAGATCAGAACCTACTCGTTCCTTTTCACTTTTTAGAGATAACAATATGATAAACTCAAATCAAAACTGAAGAACTGACAGAATATCCAGTTCAAACAAAACTTACAGGCACAGATGAAGGTTTGACGTCAACTCGTGAAACTGAGTCAATGAATTCATGTGTGATTTTTGTTTGGTTTGTTTTTAGAAACTCGGGAATCTGTACCGATTTGAGATTACAAGAAAACAAACCTCTCAAATCCATTGAGCAAGCTATACTTCCTGAAACCATACTCAGTCTGCAAACAGATACAGGTTTCTCTGCTCAGTAAAATGAAACACTACGAAGTGCACAATCTCTACCTTACGCAGTATTTTTTATTTGTAATTTTACTATAGTTTTCTTTGTAGGTGAAGGAAGAAAAAGGTTTATTGTCAGACTGCACAGTAAGATCAAAAGACAAACATTTTAGGGGAGACGCGTACTTACGCTGGTAGTTGCACATAAAGCAGGCCTGTGCTGCAATCATCCACTCGGCTCTCGTCTCACAGAAGATAGCAATGTTAGTCTTTGGTTGCTGACCCAATACTGCTAAGCCATTTCCAAAGTTAACAGCCTTAACGTATACATCTTCATAGGAAAGCCAGGTGTACTTGCCAAGGATGACCTAAGAAAAATAATAAATTCAATTTAGAAAATGAAAATCCTAACACATGCCCTACTACATCTTCATCTGCATGAAGAAACCACAGATGTTTGAAGTAACAGTTGCTTGAATTATAACAGGAGTTTACTCAAGATAATGAACAATATTCTTGCCAAAAACTACAGGGACTGTGGAAGCTCCAACACAAATACTGCAGGATCTCCAGACGTGTTATCACCTCAGTTTCTATTTTCACATTAGGAAAGCACACAACTCCCACCATGTTTTGGAGCTTCAGAAGCCCTCCGAAAGGCCCTGGTTATCTGACCCATATACCTTTAGTTTTTACAAAGCCTGGTTTTATTTTAAGTAAAGGGTGAGAAGCACTAGCTAATACAACACATCCTCTACATTTGCTTTCTTGGATATTTGGGCTACAATTCTCCTACACAAGTAGGATATTTATATGTTCACTATTATTAAAAAAAGAAAAAAGAAACTGGAATCCAGAGAGCAGTAATCAAAGGGTCATCAGTCAAAATTGTGAAATCCCTTTCCCTTTATTTGTTCCGAAACAAACGTCAGGGCAGAGAGGAGTAATCATTTTGCCCTTTTTTACTGTTAAGCACAAGTGGGACAGAAGACTGGAAATTACTGGCAAGTCTCAGTACTGAAAAGCCATGTGGAAAACATTAAGCAATCTCACTTTTCTTCTATATAGGAAAGATGGTACGCAGTAAAATCAGATTTGAATTTACAGGTCACACCATCTATGACAGATTTCTGTGTCTGCATTCGCACCTTGCAGCATGCTGTTTACTCACTGAATGACAGGATACTTCCTTGAAGGTATCCTAGATTTTCATTTACAGATTAGTGTATGAAATACACTATCAGTATGAAGGCTGGATGAGGCTTGGAGCAACCTGGTCTAGTGGAAGGTGTCCCTGCCCATGGCAGGGGGGTTGGAACTGGATGGTCTTTAAGGTCCCTTCCAACCCAAACTGTTCTGTGATTCTGTAAGATGGTTTACACAGACTAATTACACCTTACACACCTAGTTATGCAAGCACCTTGACAATTTTGCAAAACATAGTTATTGGTCAAGTATTTCAGACATTTCCTTTGACTACACAGCATTAGTAATAAACCCAAGCACACACACCAAAAAAAAGGCTAGAAAAGCAAACTTCCTCCTCCCCCATTCTGTTTTCCACATTTCATTTATCAACTTTAACTAAATTTCAAACTTACAAGCTGTAAAAATCTAACATTTTGTTACATAACCACATTTCTAGTGAGTCTGTATTTCCATATCCATTTCCTTAATTTTATTAATTTGAAAGTCTCTCTCAACCTCTAGTAGAAAACTAAAAACCAATAGATTTCTTTTATCAAAACACTTTTTCAAACTGCTGAACTTGACTATTGGGCGAGTTGTACCTACTACAGCTCTGCTGCATATTGCTCATTAACCTACTTGTTTAGCAGGACAAACCTTTAGTAACTCAGGGCAGGTGTATGTGCAGCTGCTTGGAAATCTCACAGATGTTTTCATGGGAAAATATCATTTAACAAAACCAAAGGATACTACTTGGCAACAACAGCAATACTTAGCAATTTCACCAGAAAAGAAAAATTTCTCACACAAATATGGGCTCAGGTTTCCCTGTTTTATTTAGGGAAACTCAGCTGTATGGGCAAACAGGCTGTTTTGGAGCCATACACCTTACTGGGGAAGAAAGATGACACTGAATGTCTCTGCTGCAACCGCTGAGAGAACCGGAGCAGGACTGCTGCCTGACCACCGTCGCAGCACAGCAGGCAGAGGGTTCGCACCGCTACAGCCCCCCAGCGAGGACGGCCCTGGAGCTCCTTTCAGTTTTGACACACCAAGATATTTCTGGTGTGGAAAACTTAGCCTGCTTCCAAAGCAAATATTCCACCTCTTCCTGTTCATCCAAATTTCACTAATTTGGAATTTTAATTCCAATTTGGGACATTTTTTCCCCCCAAACACAGCATTTTTGGCAGACTTGGAAATTCTTGACAAGCTTATCAGTTGAAAACAATTTACAGCAGTCACACCCTTTCCACCATTATAATCTAGCTACAGCTGACCTCAGGGACACTGCTCTCAAATAATCAGGCCATGAAATACAATCAGATTCTTGTATTCCTGTTTCTGTAAGTTTGCCAGCCAGTAAATGAACAGGTTATGTTGTATTTCTACCATTTGCTACATAACTCACTAAAGCTGGAATAATAAATCATTAATGGGCCAAAAATAGACCGTTATGAACAACACTCGAGACTGCTTTTTTCCTTTTTATTCTCTTAAATAGTTTATCCTCATTGCTTAAGCACATTCGATATTAAAGTAGTGAAAGAAAGCTTTATTGGTGCTTTCCTTTCTAAAAAGGTTAGAAAATGCCCAGAAAGGAAGCAGAGCACTGTTAGTTACAGCTATTTTTCTACATATAGAAAAACAGTTATATTTCTGAATAAGTGATGTGTAAAAACACGAGAAGACCTTCTTCAATGCAACTACTTTGAGTTTTACTTTTCTGACTGCTTTCCATATATTTAAACTCTTACATTCCCTTCCTCCAGCGTTGCTTCTCTAACATATTAATACGCTGCCCCTGTCCACACGTCTCTTGCCTTCTGCGTTTCCCCACATACTGCTTTTGCAGGACACGCAGAAGGTTATGGCTTCCCTCATCCTTCCTTTTGAGTAGGTCTGCAAATCCATCCCCCCTCCTGGTCCTTCCCTCAGTAGCTTCGGGTAATATTTTCCATGTACAGTTTCTCGTGTAAACAGCTGTTAAGACTTATGTTAAGTGCCATCATCTTTTAAACATTCACACATTTAATTTTACAACTTATTCCCGCTCAATAACTACTTACACACGTAAAGAAAGTGAGCGCCCAAGAGTTCGTAAGAAGGGCCCAAGTAGTCAAGATTAGTGAGAACTGATTAAACAGACACAAAACCAAACACCAAATCAGAAGAGGCAGCATCACTGAACGTTTACTTCCAAACCCTACATTCAACAGAAACGTGCTGCCCTCTAGTGCACCAGCTTCTAGCCACTCTTCGTCTGCAAGCTGTTCAAAAGTATCTCAGTTACCTAGGAATGCATAGGAAAGTATTATTAAATATCAGTACTGCATTCATATTTGGAAATCCAGCAAAGTACAGATATAGACTAAATACCTTCTGCACAGTGAACATATTTTTAATCTGGATTTTTAGGATAACTATATTCAATTTTTTAGTCTGAAGGTGTCATAAAAGGTTCTCAAAAAAACTGCAGGCCCATGTAGTCAGTAAACTTCCCAACTTCAGTTACCTTCCAAGGTCTTCCTAAAAGTAGTTTGTAAGGCTTGAAGAACCTTGACTACAATTTGTAAATGAGTGATCACCAATTAAACACATTTCCTTGTAGAAAGCGTATTAAAAACAATACACGGGAGGTTATTTGGAGCGTCTAGTTTTGGCCTTTTCACATAAAAACACAGATTGCAGCTGAACACCTCTGAAAAAACCCACCCTAAAATATTACTTGCATAGCACCCTATGTTTTCCAACATCATAAGCTACTCCTATTACTGGTCCATGACTTGACACAGCAAGAACCTTCCTGCAACGTCACTGCACGTTGCGGGATCAGCTACAATGAGTGAGGTTCTGAATTCCCAAGTCCTTGCCCATGTGCTTATTACTGTTTCACTTAAGTCTCACCAGCTATAGATGCATCACTTTCCCCTACCAAATCAGGTCTTCTTTTCCTCACTATGTCTTATTTATTATGTTTCCAATAATTCTGTTCTGGTTACAAACCAGAACACACACACACACAAACACAAACCCACTGCACAAACAAAAAAACACACCCCACCACCACCTAAAGAACATGTACACAAAGCAAAATACACACGCCAACATATACAAAGGAAACAAGTGATGATATAGCCTATAGCTGAGATGACATAACATAATCAAACAGAATAAAGTTCACCTTTTGGGCAACATTAAATTTAAGATTTGCTTAAATTAATTTCATCTTAATCTCTGAAGTATTTTCAACATTATTTTCTCCTGACTTTAATATTTTTTTGTCCTGAAATTAATATTAGGTATGCTATTCAATCTATGTATTAAAGGACACTACGGAAGGAAAGAAAAAATAACATATGAAACAATATAAAATGCAAACTGAGCAGCAGCATATATTTGTATTTTATTAATATCCTTGAATGTCTGCTACTTTAGAAACTACACAGGAATAAATAAATTTTTTCAACAATGTAATACCATAAAAATTCAAGAAGTTACAGATTATCTGGGATATCACTGTTCTCAGAATTACTGCAGTATCTGATCTTAAAGATGTTGAATATCTAGCTTTAAATAATTTTAGCTAGAAACATGAGGACACCAAGTTCTCCTAAGAATGAGAAGCTTAGTATTTTACACTGAGATACATTTACCCCATTAATAAATCATTGATTAGGCTGATCCAGCCCATTGCAATTTGCAGACACATAGTCTAACAGGTCACAGAATCACTAAGGTTGGAAAAGACCTGTAAGATCATCCCCTCCAACCATCAACCCAACACTACCATACCCACTAGACCACGTCCTCAAGCGCCACATCTACACGCTCCTTGAACCCCTCCAGGGATGGTGACTCCACCACTTCCCTGGGAAGCCTGTTCCAATGCCTGACCACTCTGCCAGTGAAGAAGGTTTTCCCAATATTTAATCTAAACCTCCCCAATGCAACTCACTGCACAGACCCATGATCTGCACTCAGGTCTGCCCTTGACTTGCAACTGACCTCAGAACAACGTATCAATCTTTCCCACCGCCGCATTCAATTCCCAAAAGGGAATAATTAACAAGTTTTGTAACTCCTGCAAGGTATAGAAGTTATATGCATTATATCCAAGAATTAAAATGGTCATGCACCTTTGTGAAGAGCTACACCAAATAAACCTCAGCACATCACCTTTACTGATGGGAACCAGGCTGTGAAAAGATGCACGGTATGAAAGACAAAAATCAAAGGAAAGGAACCTCAACACTTAAAATTAACAAGGCATCTTGTCACATGTTCTGCACTTGTACAAGCATGTTATGACATATCAAGAAGCACTGTATTCTTTAATGGGGGGAAAAAATTAAGCCTTACGTGTTAATGCCACAAATTGGAAAAATAACAGGAGGGCAAGCACGGCAATGGACCATAATGAACTGTTGTGTCAAGCTTAGGCAAAATTACCTAATGCAGGGAATTTCTAAGTCTAAATACTTAGAAACAAGTAGTTTAAGTAGGTCAACACCAACATTCTTCAGCTTTCCAATATTCAGAAGACTTTGCTTGCGTAATGGAAAAGGCTAAAACTCCCAAGTTCTTAAGCCTTACGTTACTAATTATGTTTAAACAACAGAGCACAGATGACAGGCAGCCAAAATTCTGATTTGTGCTCAGAATCCCACTTGGTACAACATGAACTTTGTTTCTTTATAGGGCAATGAGGCAGCAAAACATGCATCCCAAAAGATTGTATGTGCCCATTTCTCCCAGCATTTCCTTCATACTGAAAAATTAACTCCATAGCTGGGAGGAAGTTTCACTAACAGTTAAAGCTCCCGTAGAGATTTCAACAGAACTAAACTTTGCCATGCATCATGATATTAACCAAGTTCTACTTTAAACATTATACCCCTGTAGTAGAATTAAAACTAGCAGTATTTAAAGAATCCTTTATTACATGAAGAGATAATTTTTTCTTCTTCAGGAAAACTAATACTAACTAAAACATGTCTTTAACATGTAGTTAACAACTTCTAATACAGAAGTGCAGACCTCTATATCTGCACACATACATGTATCTTGTTTGTGGCATCCTGACTTGCTTCTTCAGGCAAAACTGCATTTTTAAATACCTCTGAACAAATACAAAGCAGCAACTGACAATACAGACCTGAGCTTAAAAGACTATCAAAAGCCAGCCCCTTGAAATAACAAGAGTTTTATACTGAAATTACATCACACACACACCCCCATGATTACAGATCAGCAGAGAAGGAGTGAAGGAGTTCACCTTCAAGGAGACTGAAAGAAAAAATAAACAAAACAAACCCCTACTCTTCCAATTTTGGTCTGTGCCATCCTTCTCCAAAAAAAAAAATTTCCTTTAATCCCTGAATTCACATGGCAAAACCTGAAGTTACAATTAAGTTTACTGGAAAGGCACGTAGGAGTATAGGCATCTAGTAATTTTTCTAGATTTATCTGGTTATAGTTCAGAATAACACAGAAGTTCACCTAAAGGGAAAACTTCAAAGCCAGTTAAATCATAGCTGAATATTAAAGCCGAATAGCTAAAACAAATTTGTGTTTCTTCTTTGGCTGAAACCATAAAAAAGGACATCCACTCAAGAATGCAAAAAGGTGGTGCAAATTTGTTTTAAACACTGAGTAACAAAAGACTGGGAATTAGGTAATTTAACTCTTTTCATGACTACTTAATCTAAAGAGAAGGTTATCTCCCCCCTCCCCAATTTGCTTTACGGGAGTAGAAGTGTTGCAAAAGAAAATAAACACATTGAAAAAAATCCTGAAGCCAGACTGCAAAGAGACTTACCTTCTTAAAAACTTTTCCTGATGGCTGGATTTCGTCTTCCTCTTTTAGGATTTCACGTGTTCCCAAGAGTTTTTTATCCTTAAATTTAGTTTTAGCATACTGAAAAACTTTGTCGAGCGTATCACACCCAGGATGTAAAACTGAAGCTAGGCAATGTAGGCTGTTAACAGATCTGTACGCAGCCCCAGGCCTGTTGTTCACAGGCTTAGCTTTAACCTGCTTGGCTTTTGCTATAGCCTCCCTTGATCCCGAAAATAGGTACCACGGAATGTACATTACAAAGGAGTACACCAAGATTATAAAGTTTATAAACTGTAGAAGAACAGGGTTGATGTTATGCTTCAACTTCATTCTGGCTACTTGCGAAGGTTACAAGGAAGAGTTCGGAAACATGGATCACTTAAACAGGGACCCAAAAAGATCTGAAAAGAGAAAAGAAGATGTTAGCGGTAAACTCTGTAGCTGTTGGCAGGCGCGTTATTTTCCAATATATTATTACACTCCCCATCCCAATAGGTCTTTTTGTGCAGAAATTAGGCTAGAAGTCTTAACCCCTAGCAGAAACAAAACAGGACACCCAATACATGAGGAAAAACGCTTCCATTCCCATTTAACAGACTGCAGTACTTACTAACATTTTTATTTCTTTGGCCACTACGCAAAACAAGCACAGAACCCAAGGAACTCAGGGCCTGGATTTTTAAAAAAATGACATGTGAATAGTATGTGTTTTATCTGAAAACGTTACGCAATTACACAATGTAAAAGATTCTCTTCAACCACATCAGAAGACCCACACGCGTTATCTTCACCGCCAATCCTGGACTGTAAATCACAAACCTCGGTACAAGCCCGAAGAACACAAGTTATGCCACCGCTCTGTGCACGGGAACCCCGACCCCTAAGTACATAGAAATGCTTTCCAAGAGCTGTGCATATGGGAACACCTACATAAGAGAAGGAAACTCTGACCTTCCTCCCTGGAGGCCTTGTGCAACGGAACCTTGGTGCTTCGTTTATTCTGAGGGATTTTCAATCAGTCCTAGAATTCCAGCCTCAGCACCAGTAGGCAATGGGCATGCTTGTTAAATAAATAAACATGACAGTAAGGTAACTAATATTTGGAAAGTACTGGAAAGTGGCTTGAAAATATCCCCCAAATCCTAGCAACAGCACTATGAAGTGATGTAACTTTTTCCAGGGTCCCTAATGCCACCAGGATATTCACTTCGACTTTAAAAAAAAAAAAAAAAAAAAAAAAGAAGCATGATTTACCTTGAGAACACAATGATACAACATTTTCATGTATTCTACTGTGGAGGCAAGAAATTATGTCATCTATCTAAAAAGTAAATCAAATCATCACGGAAGAGGGACACTTGTCATAATGGCTGAAGATCAATTTCTGCAGTGGTGAATGAGCTACCAGCTATGAAAATCAGTGTTCTTCTAAGAGCAAGATGAACTATAAACACACCTCGCTCAGCTAACTTTTCAGAAGTACTGATACAACTGTATTCAAACAAATACCATAAATCAGGCAACTAATAACGATGTGTGTGTAAGATGCACAACTTTGAATGAACATTTCCTTAATTTAGAAGGATTTATCATTCAGAAGATACAGTGCCAATAGCATATTATTCTTGGCTGATGTCTTGTGTTCACTGACTCTTTGAAAACCCTAATGAAAAGGAATTTTAGTTGAAAAAGTAGCATTTAAACCATACGGGATCCTTCAGCAGTAACGGAAAGAAACCTTGCTTCATGAACCTTAGATTCCTAGGTGTTTTGGGGACAAGATCAATCCGATATCCTTCATCTGTGGGATGAGATTAATTCCATCTTTCTCTAAACCATACAATTCTTGAAACTCCAAGCACAAAGATTTCCCCATCAGCAGCTTCCCTAACAAGCCGCTGTAACCTCAGCATTAACATTGCATCACTACAGGCCGTTTGAAGGAACCAAGCAACACCAACGTCTCTGCTGCAGAACACCCAGAGAGACATATTCAAATAAAGCACAGGACCTCTTCCCAGCAGGGGCTTACTGGGGAAAGGGATTTAAAACCTAAATCAAAAAAATAAAAATAGAAGTTTCTCTCTTAATTTTCAGATCAAAGGCAAAAATCCATGACCAAAAAAACACCCTTAAATAGGCTAAAGGGTAAATTCAGTAATCGTTGGAAGAGACTTATGCTCTTAGGCTCTCACTGAAGGATATTTGATGGCAATAATCATGTGTCAGCCAAAAAGCTATTGCAGTCCACTAAAACCATGCTGGTTTTGACAGCGGCATCGAACACAATGTTTTAAAGCTGAATCCAGAGTTCACCCCACAAAAGTTTACCCATTTCTCAAAATAGTACGTTGTACTATGATTTTGTCTGGCCAAATTCGAGGAAGGTGGAAGCACATTTTTTTTTCCTCATTACACAGCTGGAGAACTTCTCTGGGTCTACAAAGCAGAAACAGAATCGAACCACACACTGTTACAAGCAAGTAGTAAGGCAACTGATTTAATACCTTTTGGAAAACTGCTCTCCAAAGAAATTCCCTGTCTGATAAACCGCTGAGCCTGTCTAAAAATACTCTCTGGGTCTCAGAACTCTCCTTGGGTAGAGAGACCCTGAGTCCTTCCAGAATAGCAGCTTCCCATTTGATTTTGCTGTTATCCCAACGGCTTTATTCCTACCTCAGAGGAGAGGAACCTTTGCCACCATTTCCAAAATAATGATGCCAACGTATCCTGACAAGCTCTCTTCTGGCTTGCCTGAAGCCCTACACGTAATCCCCGAACCTGGGAATGTTTGCTTTGAGTTGCACATCATCAGTGGTGCCGTGCCCACCAGTTCATAAAGGCTGCATTGCAAGAGAGGGCCTAAGGACACTCCAACAGGCCAGACTAAGGGGAAATGCTTTGGAATGTCAGGCTGGTTCAGAAAAGTGTGCGTCCAGCCCCACAGCCCTACACTGATGGGGATCTGTTACCCTGAGTAAACTGCTAAGTATTTCAGTTTCTCCATCAGTAAAGTGAGGCTATTACAACTCACCTATTTCAAACAGTTTCTTTTCAAGAATAACACAAAAAAAATTTCTTTCACTTAGAATACTATTCTTAAAAGATAAAAAAGTATCTTTTGCAAATGCGGTTTCTTGCCTTCCCTTTCAAACAAGCAAGAAAAGTATATTCTAAGATACTCATGAGAAGAATAAGTTCCACTGTCTTTGTAGGGGGATGTTGCTAAAGAGAGCTGAGCCAGGACACTAAGGAAGTTCCTTGGTGGCAACGTAAAGGCTCCACCTCCTTCCCTGATGAACTGAAGAACACAAGATGCGTTTTAACTCATCATTTCATTGCTGTGTTGCTGAAGAGAAAAATTCCAGGTAAGCAAAGCAGACACAGTTCAAAATGGCTTCATCCAGCAGATTTATCATTGCCATTCCCAACAGAAGAACATCAAAGTCAGCTAAACGGATCACTAAGCAGCCAATTTAAAAAAAAAAATAAAATCTTTGATGACAACACAGAATCAAAACTTATCCCCAACTTGGGACTGGTGTGTTAGCAATAAGACAATTATCTTCTACTGCAAGCAAACCCAATGCAGCTGAACGTGACAGTATGTTTTTCAGTTTGGGTGGGTTTTGGGTGTTTTTTTGGATGGATTTTTTTTTTTTTTTAATAAAAGGTCATTTAACTTAAAAGTTTTAATGACATTGTAAAAGAAAAACATTATTTTCAGTAAGATGCAATGTTTGCACATGCATTTTTCTCTATACCGATTGCTATTGCGAACTTTTAATGGACGGTGTTTTAAAAACTCAAAATGAAAATTCATAATTAATAGTTCATTTGCAAAACTAATCTGACAATGAAACGTTTTAGGGAAATTTTCAAGGTTATAGCAAATTTGAAAGGGACATACATTTCACTGTTCAATACTCTACCTTTTAAAAAGCACCAAAGAAAAAACTCTCCAAAAGACTATACTAGGGCTTTAAAATGTCATTGAAATATGATTTGTGGTCACCTTGTTCATTTTGGAAGTATATGACTGCTTTCGAATGTAAAAAAGAAGGTAAACAAACCAAAGTAAGACCACAATTAAAAATTACACATTTTTTTTCAACACCAAAGGGAAGAAGCAATGAGCACGCTCATTCTTGTGGCCAGAGAAGTAAACTGGCGGTTTTCAGGTCTGATCCTGCTTAATACGTAATCAGTGATTTGGCCTGATACACTGCTTATACTAATACTGCTATACCCTTTTGTTTTAGAAGAACACTTTTGTTAAATGAGATAAAAAAAAAAATCCCAAAAGGAATGCATTTACTAATTGACCTGCTTATAATAATTACACTACAATAAAAGCATGAATTAACAAGAAAAAGACACCTTATGCAACTTCTCATTGTG